TAGGCGGTTGTTGTCAAAGCGATCTTTGACGCTCAGTTTGATTGCATTAGATCTTCTTTTCAAATAATCTAGTAGTTTGATGTGTCGCATGATGGGATAGTTCCGCGCGCTATGTCTGAAGGCACTTTTTTTTGCAACATTCATGTACCTCAGATTTTTCTTCACAGGATGTTGGTATTAATCCTAACAATCAAATCTGTGATGGTTTTAGAATATTTCAGCTTGGGTTTTTTGGGAAAAAGTGTTTTGAAGTTTACAAAGCCGATTATGAAGGCGTATATAAACTATTTACCATTCAAAACTATTATGAATTGGACAAATGGAGTTAAATAAGGTTCGAAAGTTGATTGAATTAATCCAAATGGCATGAAAGAAGTTCTCTTTGACTCCCAAGTAAGATCCATATTGATTATGCCGACTTTGCGCAAACTCTATTAATATTTGTTGGTAGCACAACATCTTGTTTAATTTCTATTCCCTCAGGCATTGATTTTCGGCCTGTTTCGAGTGTTTTTATAGATGTATCGTGTGGAAAATCTGGAAAAAATTAATAAACCTCATAAAGAAAATAGAGTGTTCGCTTGTTGTGCTTCGAAAAAGCAACTCTGTAAAAAAAATCAAGCCACTTTAGTAGCGACGATCGTTGAAAGATTTTTACCGGTGTTCAATAAAGGAGATAGTAGGTATCCGATAGTTTTGTGTCCCGTACTCAGCAGGTGGCAAAGGTGGCATTTTTCACCAAGACATCCTGAGGGGCGGAAAATTTGCTTGGATTTTTAAAAATAAATAGACGAGATTGAAAAAAAGTCTGGCAACCATGACGAATTTGTTTGAAAATCGTTTAACCGATAATTCTGATAATACAGGAATGAAACTAACATGAGGTTAGGTACTCTTGCCCAGTGATTAGGTAGCCCTCACCTTGAATTACTTCAAAATTGCTTGAGCTTCATTGTAGTTCCCATATTTTGTCTAAGAAAACTTTCAGGAAGGTTCAGCGACTTTCTAGGAAATTCTGCAAACTATAATGAACTGTAGTGAATTTTAGAAAAGTTCTGTGTACCGTTAAACGGGGTAGCATTGATAATTTTTTAAAGTATATTCTAAATATTTTTTACAGCAATGAATGTTTTTCAAATTTTATATTTTTAAAACAAGTACTGAGGATCCAAGAGTTAATTTGTTAGTAATATGTTGGACGAAAATTAAAGCATTTGCACTATTTTTTTAGTTTTGTGACCGAACTTCAGTATTTTGATTTGGGGTTACTTTGATAATGCTCGATGAATGTAGAAAAAAAAATGATTGAAACTCAAACAATTTAGTTCTTTAAATATGAAACTTTGAATGAGTATATAATCAGAAAACTTCAAAAGCAATAAGAATAGAACATTGAGTTTGTGATGGCTGTATCGGAAATACATTTCATAAGTGATGGTTTGAGTGCTTTTTCAAAAAGGCGAAAAACACGAAACTGGTTTTTAATATTTTTGTGAATTATGTAACACATACTATATAAAAACTATATATCATAGTTGAAGATGCTAATTTCAAATAACAGACTGTAGTGGTAATTTTTATACGATAGATGGAGTAGATGAAAGCATAGAGTTGATAGTTCCGTTAGAGTACGGCATTGTGAAGATTGTATATAGATATTAGACAAGCGAGCGACTTCACGTAGAAGTAATACTAAAAACATATAGTCAAAGTACATAACTCTGGATGGGAGCACACCATCAATTACTGTCAATGGTCGAAAGGTACAGTAGCAGCACCTACCCCACCCGTGTCCCCTCGAGATCGTCAAGTCGACGATGACAGGAGCACATATCGTGGTAGGGGTAAACAATAGTTGCAATTTCCAAACCTACGACTGGATGCCTTCCTTCAAATAACAACTGAAGTGCGGTAAAAAATCGGTAGAACTGTTTCAAACACACAGTTGGTACATGAGCGGGTCGGTTTTCATCTCTTTTTGCCAGTGGTGGCGGGGGGGGGGGACACCCCTCACCATCCCTCTCCAAAGGGGGAGTTTGGTAAAGAGAGATGAAAAAACCGATTTGTACCTTCTTTAAAAAGTTGTCCTAGCTCGCTTGTCTAATATCTAAAGGGTGATACGGTCAAAATTTGGTCAATATCAACTTGACGTATTTCTTTCAATTTTGCATTTAAAAAACCTGAACACCCCTCATTTTGAAGGTGTGTGTGTGTAGAATGTTGCTCCTATTTTGATTTTGGAATTCACTCTTCAGTTGTCAAAATGCCGTCCAAGCAAGAAGAGCAGCGTATCAAAATTTTGCTCGCGCATCGCGAAAATCCGAGCTACTCGCACGCAAAGTTGGCAAAATCGCTAAAAGTTGCCAAATCAACCGTTACAAATGTAATTAAAGTGTTTGGGGAACGTTTGTCGACAGCCAGGAAGTCTGGATCGGGGGGAAATCGAAAACCGGAAGCCGCTGAGACGACAAAGAGAGTTGCCGGTAGTTTCAAGCGAAACCCTAACCTCTCTCTCCGAGATGCCGCAAATAAGCTGGGTGTATCGTCTACAACCGTGCATCGAGCCAAAAAACGAGCCGGACTATCGACTTACAAGAAGGTAGTGACTCCAAATCGCGATGATAAACAAAATACGACGGCCAAAGCGCGATCCCGGAGGCTGTACACGACGATGCTGACGAAGTTTGACTGCGTGGTAATGGACGACGAAACCTACGTCAAAGCCGACTACAAGCAGCTTCCGGGACAGGAGTTTTATACGGCAAAAGGAAGGCGAAAGGTAGCAGATGTTTTCAAGCACATGAAACTGTCAAAGTTCGCAAAGAAATATCTGGTTTGGCAAGCCATCTGTACCTGTGGCTTGAAAAGCAGCATTTTCATAGCTTCCGGGACTGTCAACCAAGAAATTTACGTGAAAGAGTGTTTGAATAAACGTCTGCTGCCTTTCCTGAAGAAACACGGTTGTTCCGTACTGTTTTGGCCGGATTTGGCATCTTGCCATTACGGTAAAAAGGCCATGGAGTGGTACGCCGCCAACAACGTGCAGGTGGTTCCCAAGGACAAGAACCCTCCCAACACGCCAGAGCTCCGCCCAATTGAGAAATACTGGGCTATTGTCAAGCGGAACCTAAAGAAGACCAAAAAAAAAAACTGCTAAGGGCGAGCAGCAGTTCAAGGCACACTGGCTTTCTGCGGCGAAGAAGGTGGACAAGGTGGCTGTACAAAATCTGATGGCAGGGGTCAAGCGTAAGGCCCGGCAATTCGGATTTGGAAAAGCGGAAGCCTAACTGAATATTTTTCCTGAATTTTATACTAATTGAACTTGAAAAAGAAATTTAATTTCATTTTTTAAATAAACGATTTCACCGATTTACACGCGTTTTCCCTTGACCAAATTTTGACCCTATCACCCTTTATATACAATCTTCACAATGCCGTACTCTAACGGAACTATCAACTCTATGCTTTCATCTACTCCATCTATCGTATAAAAATTACCACTACAGTCTGTTATTTGAAATTAGCATCTTCAACTATGTAAATCGTTGACTTCACGTAGAAGTAATACTAAAAACATATAGTCAAAGTATATACCATATCAACGGAAAACCCTAAGCTACAATATGGAATAAATGTTTATTATTTGGAAAAAGCACAGCGAGTAAATTTATTCTTTATATTATACTATAAAAGTTACCCGCATTATCAAAGATACCCCGTTTCACGGTACCTTAAATAAGTTCATTCGAAGAAACAGAGAAGTCCTACAAACTTCAGGAAAATTATTCAAACTTTAAAGATGTGCTTCGATCTTCAGAGAAGCACTGTAAAGTTCAGGAAAATTCTGCCAACTTCAGGAAAATTCTGCCAACTTCAGGGATTTTTTTGAGCTTCAGGGGGGGTTCAATGTCCTCCTGATAAGTTCTACAAATTTCAAGAGAGTTGTGTGAACTATAGCAACATTATATGAATTTTAATGATACTCTGCAAAAAGATCTTTAAACGTTAGGAAATTTTGGCAAACTTTAGGATGGTCTGTGAACTGCAGGGAAAATTTAATAACTTTATAAAAGTACTGTGAACTTTAAGAAATACCCGAGAATTTCAGAAAAAAAAGACAAACTCAGGGACGTTCAAAGACCATCAAGAAAGTTTGAATCGAAGTTCGAAGTTCAACGAAATCAAGAAAAAACTTATAAACAGTAGTTTAAATTTGAATGTGACTTCTATAAGCTATCTCATCGTCGTTGGAGGAAAAACTCCCACTTCATGTCTCAGAAAACAGTATACTAGAGATAATTTCTTGTGATAACTCTTTTTTTACGCTTCCCTTATAACATGTGATCGAGGGCATGAGCAGGGTGGAAGGGCGTAAAAATAAGAGTTCGCCGTCTTAAAAAATATCGTGAGTACAGCTCACGCATGTTACATTACCGTTTACCGCTATAAAAAAGGGAGCAGTTAATGAAAATTGAGGTTCACAAATATCCAGAAGAAATATGTTAACATGAAGTTCTAACCAAACTTGACAGTCAAAGTTGTGCGGGTGTGTAGGTATTTGTATAAAAAACACAGAAAACAGAAAATACATTTATAAAAAAAAAACCGGAATCTTCAGGATATTTTCTAATTGGAAGACGAAAGTAAGGATTACTTTGTTACTGTAACGAATAGGGAATCTTACTGTTCCATTGAAACTTAGTATTTTGGCTACTTTAATCCCCTTTTGAATCATTTTCAGCTGAATTTGTGCGATCCGTAACAGTTTTGTATCGTCAATAGTCCGTATACGCCTTTGTAAACGGCTATTCATCAACGGCAGCCATCATCATTTTCTCATCCGATGATAGTGACAAACTCGCGAGTGATCTTTCATTGAAAATGACATTAACCAGCCCAAGGTACGTACTCATTGACACATGACCCATACTCACATGCATCCCCGTTCACATGAATAGCATTTGAAATTCCCAAATTCCCAACTGTACAACATAACTCACCAACAACTCGTCCGGCATCGAGGGCCCATTTGGCAATAGATTCCAACTGTTTCACCTTGTCACTTGTAGCGACACAATCCCCTCGGTTCACGGTGGGATGAACGGCAACCGTTCCGAGATTACTCTTCACTCCGGTCAAAAATGCTGTGCTGGCACAGGCACTATCCGGCACCCGGCTATCGACGCAATAAGTCTGGAACGATAAAAAAAAAGTAGCAATGAACATAACATCAGTTTCAACATGCCATTTCTGACAGCATCCATAAGTTGACGGTATTTTTTGCCCTGTTTTGCTACCCTTGATCCCATCTCCCACATCCGGCACAGCCCCAATAATTCATTTCAACCTTTCACCGAAAATGTGTTCCCAATCAATAAAAACTGACAAATCATAAAACATTTTCCACCCATCCCATTATCCCATCGCATCGTCCATGACGGTTCGAAAACGGTTCTGTGTTCGGTTTTTTTTTGCTCTCCCTTTTCGACCGACCCACCTTCCCGGTATCGCTCTGCTCTGGCATGGGTAAAATGTTTGCCCTTAGCAGAATACTCGAAATCCCCAATTTAATTCAATCGATCAACTCGGCCCGGTTGGGCAGTGTTGCCAAACAATGGACAAATTTGGTAAAGAGCTGTTAGGAGATTCCACGCAAGCTGGCACCACTCGCTCCCAATCTCCCATGCCATCCACATTCTGTTCCGCTCAGATTTTCACTATGCGCTGTTCAACCCAACCCGTCTCGAATTCGTGATGTACTTTTTTCCCTCCACGTGGCATCGCACGTTATCCACTTTTCTGGATGAGTTGGAAAATCACTTCACCGTGATCCACACCAACCGAATCAGAGTGATGAGGCAACAAACGGCCACTACTGGAGGAGCACACCGGACCCAGAAGGGAAACAATTTGTGTCAATAACCGCATAAAACCAGGCTCCGTGCTCCCTCCACCCGTCGTTATGTTGCCTTCGAGAAACACGGATGACTAAGGCTAACGGCGTGAAAATGGACATCCCAAGGAGGGAGAGCAAATCAAAACCATGTAGCAATAACTTTCAGGACAAAAGACTCATCATTGCTTACCCTGGCATTACCACTCCATTTCAGTTTCTCGAACGCGAATGCGGCATTTTCGCCTCCGTTGGTGGTTCTGGCTGCGGTGATGGTGGCTTGCGACATTCCGGATCCAACGAAGACGATTATGTTTTTGGCAATGTTCTAAAAGGAACAAAAATAAAATTATTTCACCACAACACGACACATACAACACAGCTGAAACTTGGTAATTTTGTGAATATTATTTTGAGTTTTGTTTTGCTGTAACGAAGGTTTTGCTGATAGTCCGTGATCACTGAGCCATACATTAATTCGGTCATATAAATTTTATCAACAACATATATTACCAAAATCATATATGGGACAGTAAAGCAGGCGTATTTCCAATCCTTGTGATTAGTGAGATTCATTATTGTACTTATATTTACTCTAATCATATTACTGATCATTGGAAAAAAAATCATATAGTATAAAAAGGGATTTTCAGCATTAGACATAGACACGTTATGCATAATAAGCTTAAATAGCTAATAAATAAATAAGTTAAATTATATTTTGTTAGTGTTCTTATTTAGATTCGAATATTTATTCTAAAGCTAATCGTCATTCAATTAATTAAAATAAGTAAGATAATCGTTTTGAAACGGACTGAAGCCGATCTTAAATGAAACGAACTGTTGTTTACATCTTCTATGCAAACCAGTTGCCTACGCGTATAGAGGTTAACCAAAATGTATTGCTTACTGATGTAGCTATCTCCGAAGGGTTTCACCAACAATCAATTCGAAACTAACGATTTTAAATTGGATCTCTACTTGACTAGCCTATTGGTCCCAAGCAAATCGATTAACGCACCCCATTCTTGTCGAAATTCTAGTTCTATACTATGTTTTGATTCACTATAGAGATTGCTGACGTTTATCGTACGCACACTACGTCACGTATACGCCAAAATTTTAATCGGGAAAAAAAAACTTCATAGCGGAAAATTTTCCCGATGAAAACAAATCACTGACACAATCATACTTTAGCAATCTCAATCATACTTTAACAATCTCTAATACTCGTCTATCAACGCTTGTGAAAATGAAATGGTTAAAGGCGCATAAAAGCAACCTCAATGAAAATAAACTTATATTTGAGTTCATTTATTATTACTCAATAGTTGAGTAAATTTTAACTAACGCCGCTTTTCTGATTCACTCAACGGCGGACCTCAAATGATAGAACCCAACGTTGAGTTTTTTTAAACTTAATTTTGAGTATTTTTACATACACGGTAAATGCAAGTTTGACAGATAAAATGAGTAGTTCGTGGATTTTCCTATGTTTCGAGGGGTACATCGATTAGCTTGGGACCGAAGAGAGTACCAGAGCTGCGCCAAAAAGTTGAGCACGTTTCTTCGGGACCTTCTGGTCTTAGAGTTACCTCTATGGTTTCACTATTCGTGTTTTTGTTTCTCGTCTAGAGAAAACCAAATGATCAAACTCTGGATTTAGTTAACAGTAGAAAGAACAAGATGGGCCGACTGCGATCGACTGAAGAGGGAAGGAGATACTTTCATTTGATATCTCACGACCATGACTAACGAAGTCCATTGGACTTCCATTTCCGGGAATCATGCTTTGGCTCTTTTTTGAGGAGAATCAGCAATCGCCTCTTTTAAGTTGATCATAACTGTGGTAGACGAAGGGCGCGATTGTATTAATTTATTACGCGTTGTGTTTTGGTTACACACTTAGAAATTATTACTTTTACACGAGACGTAATTCAGCTTTGACGTAAATCATGGAACGTAAACAAACATGGCATGTAAAATTAAGTGTCCTGAAACTGAAACATATGCAACTCGACGAAAAGTGCGTTTGATTGAATTGATTTCTCGTCTTATGTCAAAAGGGCCGCTTGCATGTGTCGGTCTCAGGGCACTTAAATTTACATGTCTTTTTCGTAGTGTGTAGTCTTAAAAAAACGTGAAGTGTCCTTAAGATTTAATTAATCAATTCTATTTTCCCCGTGTAGGCTCTAGCAAAGTAATTAGTTTTAAGGCGATTCGCTGTGAGATCTTGCTACCACTTCGAAAATTTAAGTGCACACATTTCAGCTTCCACGACACGTAGGTACTACAATGAAACTGTTAATCCACGGTGCGGTGCGGTGCAGCATACATCCAGTAGCAATTTCAGGTGAAATGGGGCGTAATTTAAAATTCGAGGTGAAAGTGCATGTACAGCCTATTTGTGGACTATACAAGGAATCCCCTAATAGGGCGGTAATTGTTGTGCTGGAATACTCGCTTGATTACGTGGATTACGTGAACGTACAACAATAGTGTTGTTTCGATCAGCCACGCACCGCCCGTTTTCGTCTCTGGTCGCCAACCCTTGCCACACAGCGGCGCCGGTGGTGTAGTGGTAAGCGTGATTACCTCTCACCCCAGCAGGCCTGGCTGATATCTCTGCAAAATATCTGTTTGATAGCTGATATCTCAGCAAAATGTTACTTGTTAGCGGAGTCTCGGCAATTGTTTGACTGAATCTCAGCAAAAGAAAATTCTGCAATTTATCGGCTGTTGGAATCTCGGCAACAAAGTTTAAGTGTGTAACATCTCTGATCACGCCTTCTTTCGGAAGGGAAGTAAAGCCGTTGGTCCCCGGTTCATGAGTGGATGGGTCGATAGGTAGGGTCCAGGTGTGGGAGCTGCCTCCCTATCGTTAGGACGTCAATTCAGCTTATCGTTTACCAAAACGAACCCTGCTGCAAACCCTTCCCTCTTATCCAACATCCCAGTGATTTTTCGGCTTCCATCAAAGCGAGTACCAGCGCTGGTATTGCCTAGTTTGAGATCACTATGTTTTACACATTGAAGATGATTGCTAGTCCCAAGCATCGTCTATTGGTTCTCTGTGTGATTACAGCTGATCCGGCAATAACAGAGTAGCAACCGTCGGCGGTCAATCATGCTCATGCTCATGCTCATGCTTATAGCGGTATGCTCCATAAAGTTCTCTACCACCGTTAGTATTAGCATAGAGGTAACTCTAAGACCACTGGGTCCCGAAGAAAATCATTATTATTTTTGGCTCACTCAGTACCAGAACAACGGTCCCAAGCAGTCCCAAGCTATTTCACTCACCCCTGCATGTACTGCATGAATCCACACACCCCTGATGTTATCTGTCAAACTTTCATAGCGAATCAAAACAAACATAGTGTAGTAATAGAATTTCAACTAGAATAGGGTACGTTAATAGTTTGCTTGGGACCAATAGGCTACTAAAGTGGTGAGCCAATTTAAAATCGTTAGTTTCGTATTGATTGTTGGTATTAGTGAGCAGTTTCACTAATACAAGCATTGTACTGGTTGAAAATAAAAAAAAAAACAAACCGCTGTCAAGTCGAACACGTTGACAGCTGATTTCGTGATTGAAAATAATAAACAAATCGATTTTACACGGCTATACTAGCAACGTTGTATTGGTGAAATCTTGCGGCAAGAATTCAATTGAGGATAAGACGACAATCTCGTATTATCCTCGATTTTGTTAAGCACCATGCCGTATCATCATAGAGGTAACTCTAAGACCAGAAGGTCCCGAAGAAACGTGCTCAACTCTTTGGCTCAGCTCTGGTACTATCTCCGGTCCCAAGCTAATCGATGCACCCCTCGAAACATAGGAAAACCCACGAACCCCTCATTTTATCTGTCAAACTTTCATAGCGAATCAAAAGAAATATAGTGTAGTACTAGAATTTCGACTAGAATGGGGTACGTTAATCGATTTGCTTGGGACCAATAGGTTAGTCAAGTAGTGAGCCAATTTTAAATCATTAGTTTCCAACCGGTGGTATCATTGCAGAACGGAAAGAACTTGGCCGGCGTCGGTGGTGTAGTGGTAAGCGTGACTGCTTTCTCACCCCAATGGGTCTGGGTTCAATCCCAGCCGAGGTCAATGGGATTTTTCTGAGGCATAAAAATCTCTGGTCACGTCTTCCTTCGGAAGGTAAGTAAAGCCGTTGATCCCGGCCCATGTGATAGCAATCGATGTCCGTCGGTGATTGGCACTAGATTGCGAAACAGAGACCGACGTTAAATAAAGGAAACAAGAAGAAGAAGGGAAGAACAAGATTACTGTGACTGGATACGCACAGCCCAAGGAGGTCATATAAGGGGTAATCTGGTATCACCGTTATCTATCGGAGGTTGGATTCGATGATGAGAATTTACTGGTGGACTCCAGTGAGGTATTGCGAGCATCCTGCACCAGATACTTTCGAGCTGTTGGAGGCAATCAAGAAGAACGAAGATGATAGCCACCAGCAAACCGATGAACGTGGGAAGAAGAATGCAACTGTCCGCCATGCAGAGATCATTCAATCCCGGATCAGAGATGCCTGTGCAACAACTGGAAGACAATTAGCAAAGCTTGGACAGCGAGGTACAGCAATTCGACCAATGAAAAGTTTCTGTTGCTGGTGGCGAGTAGTGACTACGACGTGACCTGAACGTTGTCTGAAATACAAAACCGAACGAGTCAAGAACAACATCCTTCGGGTTTGCAACCTGCTCTATCCCGTTACCACGACTAATTGTAGCATGGATGACACATTCGTTTCGATTTTGGAGAACTTGGTGACCTCTCCTGCTTGGTGCGAGAAGTTTAACAATTTTAACCCACTAATCAGAAGAGTCGCGTCACTGATTTGCCGGAGATTCTTTCCATCAGCTGTGGCCTGGACACGGATCAGGAGTATATGAAGAAGCAAATGAGACGCCCAAACCGGGGTCATCCTCGTCAGAGTGTGAACCAAGCAATAGAAAGGTGTGCGGCTATGGAATGAACTTTTCCCGTGTGAATTGCCACTTTTCGCATGTCATGAAATCCTCCTCTGCGGTCATCTTGAGCGCTCCCACGCCAAGTTCTTGGAAATTCTCGAAGTTCTTGGAAATTCTCGGAAGTTCTTGAAAATTCTCGGAAGTTCTTCAAAATTCATTGCTGAAGTTCTTAGAACTTCTAGGAAGTTTTTGGAAACTCTTGGAACTTTCTGAAAAATTCTCGGAACGTCTCAGATGCTCTTGGAACTTAAAAGATATTCTCGGATCTCCTAAGAACTTCTTGGAACTTTTTGGAGTTTCTCAGAAGTTCTCGGATATTTTCGGAAGTTCTCAGCACTTCTCAAAAAATCTCATAATTCCCCAGAAGTCTTAAGATTAAGAACCTAGCTGAAGTTCTCGGTTCAGCAATTTTTCAGAATATCACCGAACTTCTCAAAAAATTTCGAAATTTCTCAGTTCCAATAGCTGTTCGAATGTTTTAGAATTTACAAGAACTTCCGAAGATTTCTAAGAACTCGCGAGGAGTTCTGAAAACTTCCTAGGAGTTGCGAAAACTTCTGAGATTTTCTGAGAACTTCCGATAACGTGTGCGACATTCTGTGAGTGTCCATAAACTTTCGATAACATCTGAAAAATTTCGAGAAGTTCTGAGAATTTCTGGACTTTGGAAGCTCTATGAAGCTCAAGGAAATTCTCAGAATTTTTCAGCATATCAGGGAAGTTCTCAAAATTTCTCATAACATTCCGGGAGATCTCAGAGCTGCTCGCAAATACTCCGCAGTTCATAGAACTTCTCGGAAGCTCTTGGAAAATTACTCTCTGAACATCTTGGAAGTTCTCAGAACATAGCTGAAGTTATCAGAAACGAAAGTTCTTAGAAATTCTTGGAAATTCTAGGAACTTCTTTGAATTTTTCGGAAATTCTCAAAAATTCACAGAATTTAGAAGATCTTGGAAGTTTTTTGAAATCGTTGGAACATTTCGAAAGATTTCTAAAACTTCTGAGAACATTGCTGAGCTTCTCAGAACTTTTTGGATTTTCAAAAACTTTCCAGAAGATCTTAGACATTCTCGGAAGTTCTTGAAAGTCTTTGTACGTTCTCGGACATTTTCGAAAGTATTTCAGAGAACTTCCGAGATGTTCAGGGAACTTCTGAGAGTTTCTATAAACATCCGAGATACTCTAAGCACTTCAGATGTTCGAAAGATTCCAGACCTTCTCAGAACATCGATGAAGTTCTCAGAACGTCGTGAAGGATCTTGTCACAAATTCTTTGAACTTCTCGAAAGTTCTCGGAAACCCTTAGAATATTTCGGAATTTCTCAGAAGTTCTAAAATGTCTTGTAACATCTAAAAAGTTCTCCGAACATCATTGAATTGAGACTTTAAGATAATTTCCAAGAGCTTCCGAGAAAACCTGAGTCCTTCAGTGATGTTCTAAGAACTTCTAAGATGTTACGAGAACTTCTGAGAATGTCCAAAAATTGCCGAGATGTTCTGATAGGTTTTGAGAATTTTTGAGAAATTCTGAGAATTTCCAGAATTTTTAAATCTGAATAAACTCGCGTATTATCCTCGATCGATGGGCTTCCGGCAATGGCTTCCACATCCACTGTATTCGCCCGATTTGGCTCTCTCAGACTATTATATCTTCCCAAACCTCAAAAGATGGCTCATCAATAAAAAATTCAGCTCACGTGAGGAAATCATTGACGCCGCGGAGGAGTATTTTACAGACCTTCCGGAAAATTACTTTTCGGATGGGATCATGAAGTTGGAAAACCGCTGGAACAAGGTATCGAGCTATAAGGGGACTATATTGAATAAAATAATAAAAAAAATTTCAAAAATGTTACCCTGACACTGACATGCAGGTTTAAAAACCTGTTTAAAATACTGAATTGCCAAAGAAGGAACAATGTAAAAACTCTTAGATATATATCATAACAATTAAGGCTGGTAAGTTGCTGTAGTAGCTGGAACACCTAGGTTAAAATGAAATGTAATTTATTTTGAATTTGGAACAAATAAAGAGTTTAAAAAAAAATAATAAAAAAATCATACCCAAGGAAGTTACTTTTAACCCCACCTAGTAGAGCTCCAGACATGGACACGCAAACCGGCACACCAAGAGAGCCACCAACCGGCTGAACCATCTGGAAGCGCGTTAACCCCACTTCAAAAATAAAAATCGTAAGACATAATATCATTTTAATCCATCCAACCGTATGGAACCAAAAAAAAAAAAACCTGCCAGTAAATCAAGTTTTTCGATAAATTTGCTGACTTTTTCAGTAAATACTGAAAATCACAGCAAAAATGTAAACAATCATTCTTTACTGACTTCAAACAGTAATTTTTGACAAAGAGATTCTCTGATTTACGGAGTTTCATGTTGATTGTTTTCATTAAAGTTTTTGAAAAAATATATCTTCTGTGAAACTTTCAAGTAGGACACTAAAAAATAAACCAAAATTACACATACTTACACAGAGAGTTTAGATTACCGAGATCTGCAAATTTCAGCTGAAAAACTCAGCTGTTTGTAAACCCAGGTCATCTTAAATATAAGTATAAGTGTGTGTGTGTGATTTATTTTAGTTTAGTTGAAAGTATCTCAGAAAGTAGAATTTTTCAGAAACTTTTAATGAGAAATTTAAAAAAAATATATGAAGGGCGTGGGTTTTGATTATTGAAGTTTAATTTTTTTTTGGTTTTTTACCCAAAATTATTTGATTTTTTTACTGCATATATTTCTTTTGAAAAGGATTCCTTTTTTATGAAACTTTGTCTCGGATGTCATTTTGACTGGAAGTGACGTGTTCGACGTTTTTGTTGGATTCAAAATGACCGAATTTTTGTTCAAATGTGAATAATTGACCATAACAAACAATTATGCAAAGTTTCATGCAATTCGGTGAAGGTCGCATTCGTCATTTGGCGTGGAACTACTTTCAGTAAAGTTCTCTAATTAACAATGGAAAATTTGCATTCGGAAAATCTTAACATCTTATCTTATTCCAAAACGTGCGGATTTCATTTCATTTCTCATCGCGCATGGTCATGGCGACTCGAAAATCTGGCCACGTTGCCCACAAACTTCTTAAAATACTAAGTCATCGTTACTAAACAAAATCGAAAATAAAAAAATATTATCAGCGTTGATGCATAATGTTACGTAAAACTACCACAACTTTTCCCTTCTTGTTTCTATGCATAAAGCATTCTTGGAAGTTTCATTGTTCACGCATAGGGTAATTTACTTCGGCTTAATTGCTCACTTGTTGGCCTATCTAGCATAAAACATTAAATAAATCTATGATTTCGGCGGTAACGATTCAATTATACGTTTGATCCGTACGATCTACAACATAAATTCTTTAAGAGTGCAAAGTACACTCTATTTATGTAACTAACTAAGCCTTGAACAAGCTGTCATCCATATAAACCGTTCACTTGCTTATCGTTCTATTTGTAACCTTATCATCCAATAGCGCCTTCCAACGATCACTTATCTCTAACACCGGTCGTAGCAGGTTCCAATTTGATTGCCTAAATCATATCGCAGTTCCGTTATCACTCTTACTTTAATGTCGTTGGCTTATCTTATTTCTACCGTATCTTCGTCGCACTTTCTTCAAAATTACCAAGTTTCACTGTCTTCTTAATGAAGGTTCCAAACAATTACAATTTTCTGCATAGTGTAATCCTTTTTCTCGAACAGCAGATCGTGCGCCTGTTGGTTCCAGTAGTTCGGATCGTGTTCCTCGTGAGCTTGAACTACCAATGCACTTAGTCCGCACAGGGCCAGAACGGCCAACATTGGCACATTAAACCGTAATCCGTTCATAATTACCACACGGCAGAAACGAAATCGAGCAAATTTAACCACCAACCGTATCCAAGCAATGACTGATTGGACGGTGCGGTAGGTTCATCGAATTTATAGACGATTGATAAAGAAGCAACTGACTGCGTGCTGATATAAGAAGATATGGTTGCTGATAGAGGAATTGGAATTGGTAGCGAAAGTATGTAGCGGTGGTGCAGCTTGTCCTTGACTGCATCAATGCATTTCGAGTTACACCCACATGATTCCAAATGTCTGCAGTAATGGGCCAGATGATTTAATATAGGGAGTCCAAGGTCTTTTTTCGAACAACGCAACCGAGATGCGAATCAGAGATAAGAGGAAAAAGTGATGCTGTGAACAGATGAAAGGGGTTCGACAATAATGACCCACAAACCGGTCCCATCTTTGTTTATTTCAAATTAAGCTTCTCGGGTATGAAACCTTGCTTAAGGAGTCATCATTTCAAAATTAGAAGGAAATCATTGAAAAATCTACTGTTTTTAAGATTTGCAAATGCATCCAATTAAACAAATGCCAAAAGCCATGACACGAACCTCTTTTTCCCCAGATTATAGCGGAATAGCTTCGTTTGCTCACAATACACTCTCAAGACGGCCGAAGCTCGCCTGATGGGTGCCGTGTGCAAAGGTCTATTTCTTATCTGCACACGGCACCAATAATTTAAACCGCTTTGTCCAAGTCTGAAGTACAGCAGCGCTATAATCAACCGCTCTGGTCACTACCGCTGGAACCATTATTTAGCTCACATCAGGCCCGCAAATTTGTTTGTAGCTAGGTACGTGAACGATCTGATTAACGTCAACGAATTTGGTTGCTATAGGTGGATGAAACCATAGCCGATGCACCGGGGAATCTTGATTCTTGACGAATATGAACACCAGCCGTCTTATGGTGGGTAGAAGTATGAGATACGTTGCAGATAACAAGTGATAACCACTGTTGTTTGCGTTGGTTGGTGGGATGACTCAGCAGATCTTTTGTGGAGGATTATTGAACAGTTAATTATGGTAGTAGGTTCAGTTTCCGGTCGAGTACCATTTTCTATCTCGTTGAATTTCTGAGCTTTACTTCTCGTTGATTCCTTTTCTTGCATGTGTAATAATGTGTAGCATTGTCTTAACATTCTTTGGACGGTATATTTTAAACACGATTGGAATATTGTATCGTATCATTTCGTTTTATCATTACAGAATATTGAACATATAGTAATTATTCAGGTTATTATGATAATGAATAAGCATTCAAAGTATACTACAGCTTATGACTTCTTATTGATCGCTTTGATTTATTGCCTAAATTTTGTGAGTCCGGCCATCTAAATAACTGATTCAATAGCAAGCATATTCTTATTATGAACTATTCACTTTGTAAAATGGCCATTTAAAGTCATAAAATAAGCGGGCAAATAAATTAAGCTATTTGTTTTTTTTTTATCATACCATTGCGTAATTTGAACCAATAATACGTAGATCCAGCCAACTATTAAGACAATTGATTCAATTTGAATTTACAGTGTAGACATTAAAACTTCAAAATCTGCCATGAATGAGCATGAGCATGATTGACCGCCCACGGTTGCTACTCTGTTATTGCCAGACTTACTAGCAATGGGCGATCTTGGATCGAATCACAAAAGATCGATAATTTTGGTTCGATTAATCGATTTTTTGAATCGATCTTAAACACGACAAAAATCGACTGGATCGATCCTTTTCGTTCGATTTTTGTTTCGATCCAACAACAACAAAATCAGTGCATTTGCATTTGCAATTTAATATTGACCTGTACCTGGAGTCTTCAGCTCACGCTCGGGTAGTTAAAATTGTGTCTGAGCAGATCTACAGTACCGAAAGAGTATACGGAGGCCTGGGGATATTCATGACGAAATGGTAAAGAAAGTTATTCATCTACATTCACTTCATTTTCACCGTAGTGTATATCCCCATGCTCGAGACTATTTATCAAGAATGGTAACAAGTGTTTCGTCAGAAAGGCCAACCGGTGAACACTCGTGTTTATTTCAGTTACCGTGTGGACATAATTTGTGATGAGCCCCGGTCCCTTTCAAATTGTATCAATATTTATGTACGTTCCATCTATTTGAAATGACGTTTCACATTCATCTAGTGATGGCCGATTTTCATTCGAATTATCGATTAATCGATTAACGAACCGAAAAGTAAAATATTTGTAATCGGTTATATCATGCCGATATAAGCATTAACTTCTCCAGAGGATCATCACCGATCGTTTCAAACATGTGCTGCACTCTCATTGGTGGAAAAATGGCAGTACAGCGAACAAAAAAATCGATTAGTTGTTAACCGAGTAATTAAAAAATGGGACACCTCTGATTTTTTTTTTTTTTTTTTTGTTAATTACTTTATTTGTACAGGCTCATTCGAATAAACTTTACAGAGCCAAGTTATCATTTTCTTTATACATTATAAATGTCTTAAATCTAAAATTAAAGGATTGGAACCGATTACTCGCGGTCTTCTCGAGGTTAGTGGATGACAATTGTTTGGATCGGGAGAGGGAAAAGGAGATTTGGAATATGATTTATGATTCAAAAATTTCACTATTTTTAAAACAAATACTTAATCCTATCGACGTTATATCAACTCTGTAATTATACAATTATTACAGAAACAAATCTACAAAAAAAATACACACACACATACAAAACACAAACTAAACACAAGGTTAATCAAACTTACAATCTATGGTTAATATTCTTCAAGAAAACATATATGAGTTGCATAAACTCCAGATCGCGTCTAGCCAAAATATCCCGAACTGGAACATTAGGTTGTCTACCTCGAGCCCGAAGGGAATCGTACAACTCGGATCTGACTCCACGGTGCTCAGCACATGACCAAATAATGTGATCTGCGTCCTGGTAACCTTGTCCACATCCACAGAGATTACTGTCCCCCAGCCCAACACGGAACAAGTGAGCGCTTAGTGAATAGTGATTGGACATGAGGCGAGACATCACACGAATGAAGTCTCGACCCACCTCCAAACCTTTGAACCAAGGACACTTCGACACCTTAGGGATAATTGAATACAACCATCGTCCCAAACTCCCTTCACTCCATTTATTTTGCCAGCTGGCGAGTGACTGTTGACGATAAATGAAGAAAAATTCGTCGTAGGCGATTTGTCGATCGTAAATATCGCCTTCCATAGCGCCCACCTTTGCAAGCGAGTCCGCCTTCTCATTGCCCGCAATCGAGCAATGAGATGGGACCCATGCAAAGGTGATGACAAAAGATCTTAAAGATAAAGCACTTAGAAGCTCTCGTATTTTCATGAGAAAATACGAGGAGTGCTTTACCGGCCTCATGGAGCGAATAGCCTCGACAGAACTGAGACTATCCGTAAAAATAAAATAATGATCTGGTGCAAGTGAGGCGATCGTTTCTAGCGTATAATGTATTGCCGCCAGTTCAGCAACATATACGGAACAAGGAGCATGAAGCATTCGAGAGGCGCTATGAAATTCGTTATAAATACCAAAACCAGCGGACGCCTCTATTAGTGATCCATCTGTGAAGAACGATCTTGTGGAATCAACTTGGCCAAACTTTGCAGCGAAAATTGACGGAGCAATCATGGAACGATGATGCTCTGGGATTCCGCGAATCTCTTGCGTCATTGATAAATCAAAATGAACAGAACTGTCGAAGTCGGAGAAGCAAACACGATAGGGATTATGCTGCGAAGGGCTGACATCCTGTGTTATGTACACGTAGTACAATGACATAAAACGAGTTTGAGGGTTTAGCTCAAGAAGCTTCTCAAAGTTTGCAATCACCAGTGGGTTCATAATTTCACAACGGGTGAGGAGCCTGAGGGATAATTCCGAAAACCGATCAGAGAGTGGCAACATGCCCGCTAACACTTCGAGACTCATCGTATGAGTCGAGTGCATGCATCCTAACGCGATACGAAGACAGCGATACTGGATCCGTTCCAGTTTGATGATGTGCGTTTTAGCCGCCGACTGGAAGCAAAAACTACCGTACTCTAAAACCGATAAAATCGTTGTCCGGTACAACGTTAGAAGATCTTGCGGATGGGCTCCCCACCACGTTCCGGTAATTGTTCGGAGAAAATTGATCCTTTGTTGGCATTTCCGCTTCAGATACTCAATGTGGGATCTCCAGGTGCATTTTGAATCGAACCAGACCCCAAGATATTTGAAGGACATAGAATGAGTGATCGGTTTACCCAAAAGTTGAAGCTTTGGTTGTGCTGGGCTATGCTTCCTAGAAAAAACGACCAACTCAGTTTTCTCCGTGGAGAATTCGATACCTAGCTGGATAGCCCAAGTAGACAAATTGTCTAAGGTATCCTGTAAGGGTCCTTGCAGGTCGGCCTCTCTGGGTCCTGTCATAGACACTACTCCGTCATCTGCAAGTTGTCTCAACGTGCAGTTGTCCCTTAGACAATTGTCAATTTCTCTGACGTAGAAATTATACAGAAGGGGGCTTAAACATGAGCCCTGGGGGAGACCCATGTAGCTAAATCGTGAAGCTGTAGAGTTTCCATGAGAAAAGCTCATATGTTTCTCTGACAGCAAATTGTACAAAAAGTTATTAATTAATGGAGAAAGGCCACAAGCGTGGAGTTTGTCTGAAAGGACTTCAATCGATACTGAATCAAAAGCCCCCTTAATATCCAAGAAGACAGAAGCCATTTGCTCTTTATTAGCAAAAGCCAACTGAATTTCAGTGGAAAGCAACGCGAGACAGTCGTTTGTTCCCTTGCCCCTACGGAAACCAAATTGAGTATCTGAGAGTAGGTGGTTCAACTCAACCCATTTGTCCAGGCGAAAAAGGATCATTTTCTCCAACAATTTTCGAATACACGATAGCATCGCAATGGGACGATACGAGTTGTGATCTGACGCGGGTTTTCCAGGCTTTTTAATGGCTATAACTCTCACCCGCCTCCAATCATCCGGAACAATATTAAGCTCCAGGAACTGACCAAACAAGTTCAACATGCGCCTCTT